GAAATTGATCGTAATTTTTGCACACAGTGTACATAAAGATAAGGTAAACAGTGCACAGGATAAATAAATTATATTGAAAAAATTATTTATTCAATATTTATAATAAATTTATTCAGTAAAATTTCCGCTAAGTGGATAGAAATGAGCCATAATCATAATACAATGAGACATGATCATAATACAACAACATACAATGGTAGTGTGTCAGGATATGATCATAACATGATTATCCACATTGAAATCGTACATACGATCAAAACAAAACCCACGCAATATACCTTGTGTGCAAAAATTACGTTCAACTTTTTTTTAGTAAGTACTGCAATCTCGAACGACTAGCGGGGGGCTGCGCCCCCCGCACCCCCCCTAAAAACTAACCTAACCCAACCTATCGCCACATTAAGCGTCAGTCATTGTTTATTAAAGTGTTCAATTTTTGTGTTAATGTGACGATAGGTTGGATTAGGTTAGTTTTGAGGGGGGGTGCGGGGGGCGCAGCTCCCCGCTAGTTGTTCGATATTGCAATTATTATTCGATATTGCTCGTTAACGGTACACATTATCGAAAAATTGTAATATATTTTTCGAACTTCTTTCATCAATAACTTTTTAACAAACAATGAACGACGGCTAAAACCTTCTGAAGGTTATTCAGGAGGATGACCTCTATAATATATGTCAAGGTCAAGGTGATCAAAGGTGACTCCCCTAAAGTGAACATTTACCATATTGTCCAGTGAGAAATTATACCATTGATATAATGTTAGTTGGCTTTTACCGAGTAAGAAAGAGAGAGAAAGAGAAAGAAAGAGGAAAAAATTACCTTGGTTCCACAACATCGGTTGATATACTTAAGTAATAAAGCGGCGACGAAGGAGGACACGTAGGAGACAAGTGGCACGGTGGCCAATGCTTGCTTTCCTCCGACCTCGGTCTCTTCTATGTACAATGGCAGGTATACCGTGGCGAGAGTGATAAATAACCTGCTAGCTACATATAGCATCGCAACTCGTAGTAAAATCGTGATGCGCGTCCACTCATTGGACATCCAACGATTCAACGAATTAATTTCGGCCGGTGCATTGACACCTGCCTTCCTGGATATCGTTGAACGTTCCAAAAGATTCGCCTTTAGGAAAAAATGAAAGAAGGTGGTCGCGGTAAGACCCAAAGCTGTGAGAACCAATACGATATTCTGTAAATTCAAATGAAACATATCAGACGATATTCTGTAAATTAGAATAGAACATAAGCGAAACCTGGAAAAGGTAGATCGCGACTTTGATTTTAACGCGCGTCATCCTTCCTCTCTTACTTACTCTGAATTTGTAATCATCTCGTTGATCCAATTGAACCATCGAGTCGCCGTTAGTCGGCAAAACTATCCACGTGACCATGAAAACTATCACGGCCGCGCTAACTTGAGCGGAATATCTGCGATTAAACGCATCTCGATATAATTTAATCAGAATACATCGTTGTGCTTCGCTTTGTTAACTTTTAGGCTGCCGGCATTTTTTCATTAAAAAAATGTTTTTTTTCCTCAAAAATTTTTCTATGTAAGTAACATACACATGACGCAGAATTTTGAGATTTGTGCAAAGCCACAAAAATGGCTTTCCCGGCAGTCTAAAGGTTAAACGCATTTCCTTCGAACTATTGATTTCTCGATCAATTCTGTCGGTCTTCTTTTAACGGGAAAACACGAATTTGTCATCTACTCGATTTAAAACATAGTCTTCAAAGAGACCTACACTTTCAATCGTTTATAATTTCAAAAGCTACGTATGCTCAACATTCTCGTGAAGGCAAAAGGTTTCGGAATTGACTAAAGAATCCACGGCAAAGAAGCGCGTTTAATGAGGGACATTATGTGTGTGCGCGTATGTGCCCCGCGTTTCCCACGTTCTCAAAAGCATTGCATAATTCACGTACCTTATTGCGGTCAAATCGGCTCGATCCAGAAGGGAATTAGTCAATGAGGGAATCATTGATAAATGAGAGATTTGCACGGCCGCCCAACCCGTCTGAAAGATCGCGATGCTCGTTACGTACAAGAGCATAACGAGAGAGCTGAACGAATGAGCGAAACCACCGAATATTACGGGGAAAGTCAGAGTGACCATGACGGAGCCGAGGACGTGCCAAATTTTCTTCTTGCAGTAGCGATCGACGACGAAACCGAAGACGGGCGTCATAACCGCGTCGACAACTTGTCCTGCAATGAGATTCGTTTGGACATCAATTAATGGTATTAATGAGGTAGCATTAATCAGTAACGCGACGTGACACTTACCCAGAAGTAGAAGCGCACCGGCGACGATAGGCTGCAGCAATACCACTCGTTGCAGATAGATCAAAGTGTAAGAGAACCACATAGCAGCCGTTAAATCGTTGAAAATATGTCCTAGAGCGTAGGCCAATTTCGTGGACATCGCTATCCTGCCCTCCACGAGGGGTGTTCGTTCGTTGGTATTATTCATCTTTGGAAATTTGCGCGTTTTTCGAGACGAAGATAGAAACTCTTATGACACCGTCGCATCCATCGTACGATATTGTCCCGGCTGTGGTTTGTTGCGTTTGCGGAAAATCACTGCTTTGTAGCGTTCGCGGTGCTGCAATGAGTCACAAAGGCGCAAAAAAATTTCAGTTGGTGCAACCAAATAGGAATCAACTGAAAATTAAGTGATCAGAAGCGATATCTCTGTTATGAAAACTAATATTTCTGTTGTCACAACTGGAAATATTCGTCTGAACATTCAACGATATCAGAACTTGGTTGAGGCAACTGAGAACAATTGACTACACAGAAGCATCATAAAGGAATTTTTCTGTTCCTACAGTCGAGTTTTCGTCTGATCCCTGAGCAACCGAAAATTCGGTTACACCAACAGAATTGTTTTTTCCGTGCAAGAAACTAATCAGATCCTGGAAAATATGATTCGTAAATCGTGGCACAACTACACGCAAAAGAAATTTCAGTTGGTGCAACCAAATAGAAATCAACTGAAAATTAGATGATCAGAAACGATATCTCTATTATGAAAACTAATATTTCTGTTGTCGCAACCGTAAATATTCGTCTGAAGATTCAACGATATTAGAATTTGGTTGAGGCAACTGAAAACAATTGACTATACAGAAGCCTCATAAAGGAATTTTTCTGTTCTTACAGCCGAGTTTTCATCTGATCTTTGAGCAACCGAAAATTTGGTTACACCAACAGAATTGTTTTTTCCGTGTATTAACATAATTTCTCATTAAAAGAAAGGAGATATCCTCGGTTGATCGTTTAACGTTCGAAATATCTCGTAAAGTATGACGCAAGTATCAAAAGTAGCAAGAGTCCTCTCAAATATCATTTGATATTATTTGATCATGATAGATAAATATTTAGTTTAATCGTCAGTCTTTTGTGTACGATAACAAAAAAATAACAGTACTAATAAAGTAACTAACAGTAGTTAGATAAACTAACAATAGTGATAAAGATATTTCTTCTTAAGGCAAGTCTGTGGTCAGCATTCCTTTCACTCGATCGGATATCGCTGTAGGCTACTCCCTTTTTTAAAGCGGTTTCTTGTGTGATGTTCATGAGTATTTGTTCGACAAAAAACGTATAGATTATCAACAATGAACACTGGATCTTGTGTCTATTCTCAAGCTTCTCGGCAAGAATAAATCGAAAACTGAAACGTATAACTCAACACAACGCTAGCGGGTGTCTTGTTGCCGCGTCGCGACTGAAAAGGGCATGTTTCGCAAACGTCACCGGAGAGATAATCGGATTACAGTAGACGTGCGTGATCTATCCAAATGTTACGTACCGTTAACACCTGCTAAAATTGACCCTACACGTCACATGTCACGACGAATGTCGCGAAGGAATAGCGCGTCTGGCTATCCGCGTCGCGCTCAGGTGAGAGACTGAGCTCTGAAACGCGCATCGTTACGTCGCTTTTCGCGGAAGATTATGTTAAATCAGCAGAGGCATATCATCACGGTATAATGTCGCTAGTTAAGGATAATCGCAATCTTATCGGTATGTGGCTACGTACTTGTACGCGCTAAAACGTCACAGCCACAATGATCTCATGAAGCTCATGAATCTTCTTTTTTGTTTTTCATGAGAAATATTGATATGACACGCTATATGCCTGTGAATACGACCAACGTATTTGGCGCGTAAATTAGTCGGTACTGACGCACATTTTAGTAAAATTACGTAGCGCGATTATTTTCTCGTCATATTATTTTCTCCGATAAATTTTTTATTTTTTTTAATAAATATATATAATGGAATATAAAAACACACACACACACACACACAAGACGCGAGAGACACTTGTGTGTGAAAAGTTCACAAATCACGTGTAATTATGACCACACACGATTAAAGTTTCGTTGAAAAAGTGATGAAAACATTCTTAGGACTAGTAAAACCTGGACGAGTCGTACGTACACTGCGAAACAGGCCCTGTAATCTGAGATAGCAGAAGAGAAACGCGCGAGAACACAGGAGGGAATCGATACCAAGCGAGTTCTTATACGGTCTCCCGGTCAGGCAACTTGGCAAACCACGGTCAACTTTTCTTACTTCATACACCATAGTTGCTTTAAAACGTGCTAGTTTTAAAAGGGGAGATAATAATACAGACTTCATAAGATCAAAATTCGGTATAAAAGTATATTCCTCACTTTTATTAATATCGACACATCATGAATTATTCAAGTACTCGAGCTTGTGGTAACGGATATATAATTAACAGGATACACGTCTCTCTTACGGACAAAAATGTAAATATAAGAAAATATAAGTGTTTATATATAGAAAAAAGCTAAAATATGTTTTACAATATATTAAGTAACAGCGCTATATAATTTCTACCTTTCAATAGTATATTTATCAATCTCAATACTATAATTGCGATAAATGTTATATAAATACAATTCAAATAATCACAAACTCGAGTCAATATAAAAGGCGCAAGCTTTTATCGTGTTTCTAACACGCATATGATTAACAGAGAACATCTTTGTTTAATTATAACATACATTTCTGACACGAGAATGTACTTTTATTCGTGTTATTTTATTTTTGTAGTAGGAATTTGAACTCTTTTAGAAATCTTCATTCATTTTTTATCATTATTTTCACAGAAACACTCAAACTTCATATGGAAAGATTATTATGGAAATAACAACGTTATTAAATTAAATAGAGATCACGCGTATTAGGATTTAATTAATATTTAATTTTACCTAACATTGACATATTTCGCTAACTATCGGTCGATTTCGAAGCTGCGTATTCTGTGCTCTCGAATTGTCTTAGATGAACCTGCAAATAATTGCTTTGAGACTTGTATTGTCTATAAGAACACATCCAGATATAAATGCAACTAGAGAAATTTACCTGCAAATGTAAATTAACATCAGCAGCTCGACTCAGATATGGAAAATTTCCTCCATTCTTTAAGTGCGCTAGTTTTGCATCTGGATAACATTTATACATCTCCTCTCGGACTGTGTTTGTTAAGGCGTAATCGTCAAAAACATCTATTATTGTCACAGGTAAATGGCATATCTTTTGAGGTTGTACATAATTGTTTACGCTGTTCATTGTTAAACGGGAAGCCAATTCTGATTGCGATAAACTCTCCAGCTACAAAGAATTGCAACATATATAGAATTCAAATTTCAGGGGTAAATTTTAGAAGTTTTTGCTTGTGAGACTTTTATTCATATTCGCAAGTTGAAGGAAATATAAGGATCCATACTCTTTCCACCATAAAATCGACTGCATCTATAATTTCTCTATCAGCCTTTTCTGTTGTAAAATTGCTCATTATCATTTTCTTCAATACCACAGATGGTAACATCCAAAATCTGTAAATAAACAAGAATAGAAAATATTCATATCTCTTTCTCTCTCTCTATCTCTGTACGTTTGACTTACATTGATGCAGAATCATTATAACTAAAAACTGATGTGTCTGTGAAAGTATTACACAAAATCAGAGACATCACTCTAGGGCAGTGCGCATTTATCTCTGTAAATTTCTGTGCCAGGAAACCACCTGTGGACATAATCACATGTCTCATGTGCAAAATTACAAGTTGTCCAAAGAGAATAAATGTTTTGCTTGTATGTCCTGACCTAATGAAGCGCCAAAAAGATGGACTTTGTCAAGTTTCAAATAATCCAATAGCTTTCTGAATCCATCGCACCAATCCTTCACACTCCAGTATATTGGTGCCTCAGCCTGTAAACAAGTTCCTGGTCACCATTACATCATTTCAAATAAGATTTCCACTTACTATATATATACATAATTATATGCTTCAGAATTTTTATGATACATGTTTAACCAATATAACTCACCGATATAACTCTGTAACCTTTAGCGGTCAGACCTAATATCTGCCTGAAAAAGATGTCAGCAGTACCACTGACCGGTGGAAGACATATGAGAGGGCACTTGATATTTTTCTGATTGGAATCGTACACTTTCCATCCCTGAAACAATCACATTGTGATGGCATTACAGTCTGATCATTTCTACCTGTCAGATATTCATAATCGAAATCACAAATATTATTTATACCGACAATTTATTTGAATTGTCAATAAGGGAACAATCAGAGGTCTGTTTCCTTACCACTAGTGTACACTCAAGCCTGATCTACAATGTGCTCTTTGCTTCTTGTTTTTTGTTCTTTATTTTCTTCTAGCCAAAGACTACAGATATAAGTTAAGAAGATATAAAGAGAAAGAAAGAAACAAAGAGTAACGAGCACATTGTAGATCTGGGATCAAGGACCTTAAAAAGAAACAGGCACACAGTGGAAGAGAGTGGAGAACAGTGCAAGTCAGGGCAGCCAGTTGAGTCAGCCATAGAAAACAAATCTTAGATATCGAATGAATCGAGAACAATCACGGGATAACATACCTTCAAGTCGTCCGTGTCGAGAACGATTCTTCTGAGGGGTACAGAACTGCGAAAACTCTGATACTCCTCCGAGAGTGACAGCTCGCTACAATGCAACATATTCTTCGTCTGCTTTCGATATCGTTCGGCACGTCGAATCGCGTTATCGTCATTCAACGATGAGAGTCCGTCATGTTGTTCTAGATATCGTACGCCGGAAACGAACTAACGCAGTACAATTGTGCTTACTTGTGCACTTTCAGCCGAGCACACTTTGCTTACACGCGACGACCCGAGCGTAACAAGTAGCGAGCCACTGAACAGTCAAGAATCTCGCGAACGCAATTGTTTTTGTTGCGCTAGTGTGCCACATATGTTTATAGTTCTTTTCTTGTCTGTTCCTTGTTTTTTCTCCTTCACACAGATAAACGATGGTGGCCGTTTATCTCTTAGTCTTAACTTTCGCGACAGTCGCAGATCATAATCGCCGCGCGAATGAAACCTGACGCGAGCGAGATTTTGAGAACAATTTTAAGTGCAGCTTGAGTCCTCTCCTGCAACGCATTATCTTGATTGTCGTATCGGATAATTTGACAAATCGACACGGCGATTATTCGCTTTTCACTGCAACCTCATGCCGAAAAACCTAAACAACTGTTTTTCGAAAAATCTTCTGTGCGCTCGGTTTGAATAGCCGAGATACCTGCCTTAATGTGACAGATACTGTGACGAGATTTCAGAGATGATTACAGGCGTTTTCATGGCCGACCAGAGCTTCCACTGTTTCTCACTGTAGAATTCTCGTAAGCAAACAAAATTGATAAAAAATCATTTGACGTCCACTCGCACAGTGATCATTAGTTACTGCACTTATCCGGGAATTGTAGCCTTCAACTTTTCCTCTCATAAGAGAAATGTCAGTTGCGGCCCGTCCTCACGACATCGGGATCGCGTTTGATTTATTTTCGTCCGAATATTCTTGATCATTTGTAGAATAACCTCAAATTCAGCCACATGTAGAGCACGAACGGTAAGTTCACGCTTCTGAATCACCGACAGCTGGTTGAAACACTCGTGCTTACTTTCGTAGCGCGTTGGAAGCGTATGTCAGTTTGTCGTAATCCTCAATACCGGCCACCGATACGAAGAAATAATCTCGCGATAACACGTTCGACTCCGATCGATAAATTTAATAAATTTAAGTTTGACGAAACGTATCGGTCTTCTGTTTGCGCGCATCTACACGGAAAAAAAAGATTTGCTAATATATGGACAACTAAAAATATTAACTGCAGGAGCAAATGTTTTTGTTTTCATAGCAAAGTTATTTAGTTGCGATAGTTAAAAGATTTGCTAACACACACACACACACGCACGCACGCTCGCACGCACGCACGCACGCACGCACGCACGCACACACACACACATTTTTTTTAGTTGTCCATATATTAGCAAGTCTTTTTTTTCTGTGTATGATCTTTTTTATCTATTCTATCTATTCTATGAATATTTTTGAATATCCGTGAATATCTATGCATCTTATTTTTATCTATAAATATTTCATTCACGGTTGACCCCGAATTAACAAACACAATCGATAATTTCTGAGATACCAACATTCGAGATAAGATGTTTACGCTCGTTTTTTATAAAATTCTTGATGAGTCACCTATTATTATTTTTCGATATAAGTGCTCTTACAAGTTTAAATTAGATCTGAATTTGTTTTCTACATACTACAAATCATCTATTTATATTTTGAGATTTTTATCACAATATTTATACGATGATATTTGAAAGAAATGATAAGATATAATATCAATTTAATTTATGGCGCAAACATAAATCCATATTTTTCACATACACACACACACACACACACATATATTCCCGTCAATAATTCCCGAAATTATTCTTGCCTTTATTTTTTCTTTTTTTTTAATCATATCTTAAGCAAATATTTATCTGTGTATTTAATATATATTTGTATTATCTGGATATCACGCAATACACACTAAAAAAATGAATAAGTTTATAAATTTATATTTCAATCGACTTTCTCTCTCTCTCTCTCTCTCTCTCTCATAAGTTACGATTGTATCTAATAAACACCAATTATATAATAACATTGATGTTATAATTTTCCACCCAATAATGCAAATGCAATGTAACATGTGTGTAATGTAACATTGCTTGTTACATTGTTAATTGGTAATATCAATGGTATCAATGGTAATATCAAATTGGTAATAATTTATAATATCAATGTAATATTGATGTACGTTATCTTAACTAAATCTCTCTTTACACATTTCTTACCATTTCAAGTCATGTCACTTAACACGTTCAAATGTATTAAATTTTCCTTTAATACTTTTTATGCTACTTTTATTTTTTAACTTACTTTAATGTTTTTTTATTAAAAAACGGTAAGAGACGCGTATGTAGAAAAAGCTTCAGGCAAATTATACGTTTCTGCGTTTACAAATAACACTTGGATTTGCGGTACACTGCGACACATGTTAATACGTTAAATGAGGAGAGATAGGAAATCTATCAGAAATACAACGGAGATTTTATATTTACAAGCCAGAAAGCAATTTTCTCGATCGTACATTTTTCTTTATCTCCAATTCTGTCGGAACTTTTTAAACACGGGGAACACACGCGGATGCTTAAACGAACGTGGGGGTGGCTGTAAAGGGGATCGTAACCACCGCTGTTAGGGGTGTGGCTCCGTCAATGTATGTAGCAATACGAATGTACGCCCGTACGTATTCGACACGTACATACTATCTATCCGTCTACCTACGAAGTGCAAGATTAACGATGTCGGAACTTTCGCGCTATTACCTCGGGGGATCCGACCGCCGCTTTTCCATCACCTCGTTTTCGCCCCCTCTATCCCCTAGGATCAGTTTTTCGTCACAGTTAGTCGAGGTGGAAAATTGAAGGAAACGGTGCGTTTTTAAATAATTATTTCAAACGCATAAAAAAAAGGAGAGAAATAACAGCAAGCTACCACGTGCGAATTCTCGACAAAATTGCTCATTTCCCACGGCATATCGCCTAAGTTGGAAGTGCTGGATAGATCGCAATATTCATACGTAATTATGTATCTATAACAGTACCGCGCAAACAGGAATGCTCGGCGTGACCAAACCGCCACGACATGCGATTAGGAGATTCGCTTAGCGCAAACGCTAAGCGCGGAGATCGCGCAAAACCACACGAGTGCGCGCGCGCGCGCGCGCGCGTTGCGCCGATACGTTATCGCGCCGTACCCGCATACCGATGGTACCTCCTCGCATTAATTAACTTTAGTCCGAGCGTTTGCTCCGTGCGAGCAAACGACGAAAAAGACCGTCGGGGAAAAAGAAAAGAAGGAAAAGAAAAAAAAAAAGAGGAAACAACAACGTGCCTTCTTTAAATAAATCGCTGGGAGTGACGGTTCGGCAAAGAAGATTAACGAGCGCGGTGTGTCGTTCGATTCGATACGTCGAATTAACGCGAGACAGAAACGAAGCTCCGCGTATCGGTTATTAATGACTACGGGGGTCTGCCAATGTAAACGTTTGCGATGCCGCGTGTACCCGGCGCGAGTACCCGTGCGTATTCGTCGCCTTGAGTCGCGCTCAGAGACGAGAAGACGCGTTCCCTGAATAACACGACGGCGTGAATCGAACGGTAATGCTCGGATAATGGCGGACGATTAATTGGCTATAATTGGGCGTTAGTGACGAGAATGCGGCGATCTCTCGCGGCGCGGCAACACGTGCACGGTACAAAAGGATCAACGTCAAAGGCGTTTGTAGCGTTCCGTTGCTTTTTCGAGGCCTACGCTCCACGTTGAATACATTAACGAATTACGCTGGCGCGAACTCGTTTTCGGGAAACTAAATCGTTATTGCTCGTCTCCTGCGCGGAGGCTAAACGAATTCCAGTCGCGCTCGGTGCTCGTATACCCGCGCGGGCATGGGGATGAAAAAAATCAACTACCGCCCTCTGGTTGCCTGGCAGGTTCACTAGTCACCCTCGCGCCGCGCAGCATCTCGCCTTTCGCTCTCCGAGCAATATCGTCCCGGTCCCGTCCAAGTGCCGAAACTGAGAGGGACAACATACCACGGGGCTGTCGATTAATGACGAGTATGATCGGAAGGATAGGAACGGAGTGCAAGATCTGAGAAAGCGTAATATACGCGGAGTTGAATGTAAAGCTAGCGGCACACGATGCTTTTGTGCTGATTTGCTTGCTGGATGGAAATATTCTGTTCTGATTGATGCATTTCCATTCATCTTTAGAAATGCATCAATTAAAACAGAATATTTCCATTCAGCAAGCGATACAAAAACAAGCACCGTGAGCCGCGGGCTTTAGCGGCCGTCTAATTTATAGTTTGTAGACAAAGTAGGAATAAGAAATAAAAAATGATTTATTTCTTTTATATATATAATATCTTATATATTTATATATTTATTATAGAGTATAGGCATAAAAGCGAAATCATTTATTTTTATTTCTTACTCCAACTTAGGTCAAGTTACTTCGTGTATTATAAACGGCTACTAAGAGTATAAGAGTCTAAGGGTCGGTTTATCCAACCTCTTGCTAAGCTAACTAACAGTTAAATCTTATGTCTGTTTCTATCTAATTTAAAGTAGAAACAAAGACAGACGTATGAGTTAACTGTTAGTTAGCTTAGCAAGAGGTTGGAAAAACCGACCCTAAGAGTATAATTTCCTTGAAAGTTATATTTCGGCGAGATAAAAGTGATTCTAAGGGCCGGTTTTTGATAGAATGATAGTTTATACTTAGGTTTCAATTTAAACTCTATTTAAACAAAACAACTATTTAAACAAAACTCTATTTAAACAAACGCATTGTTAGAGTAGAGTTTAAACTTAAATCTAATTTTAAACTGCTATTGAAAAACTGGCCCTAAATCTCTGAGATTTGTGATGCTTTTACATTATTCGTATTTTTGAGACCGTGGGATCGGTTGAACGGCTAATTTTTCATTGTGCAAACTAAATTTTTGTCATGCTGCATTCTCAACGATTCAGACAATAACCGAAGGTTATTGGAATCGGATTTCTATACGATTTCTAGCTTCTACGAAAGACTAATCGCGTACGCGTTTGAAGGAAATTCTAGATGCAGGTAATACAAGATGCAGGTATAAAAACTAAACATAAAATTTCAACAAACCTCACAGTAAAATCCATCTGCTGCACATCTATACATCTGTATCAAAAGGAGATTTACGAGAATTTTCCGGGAATAAAAATCGAGAAGGGAGATACCTAGCTTGAAGTTGTAAATTAAAGTATTAAGGTTGTCATTTACAATAGAAACTTCTAGATGCATTTCTAAAGATGAATGGCATGAATCAGAACAGAATATTTCCATCCAGCAAGCAAATCAGCACGAAAGCATCGTGTGCCGCTAGCTTTACATTCAACTCCGCGTATATTACGCTTTCTCAGATCTTGCACTCCGTTCCTATCCTTCCGATCATACTCGTCATTAATCGACTGGTATGTTGTCCCTCTCAGTTTCGGCACTTGGACGGGACCGGGACGATATTGCTGGGAGAGCGAAAGGCGAGGTGCAGCGCGGCGCGAGGGTGACTAGTGAACCTGCCAAGCAATCGGAGGGCGGTAGTTGATTTTTGCTGTATTTTCACAACGATTTAGACGATAACCGAAGGTTAATCGGATTTCTACAGGGTTTCCAGCTTTTAAGACTAATCGCGTACGCGTTTGAAGGAAATTCTAATACAAGATGCAGGTATAAAAACTAAACAATTTCAACAAACCTCACAGTAAAATCCATCTGCTGCACATCTATACATCTGTATCGAAAGGACATTTGCGAGAGTTTTCCAGGAATAAAAATTGAGAAGAAAGACACCTAGCTTGAAGTTGTAAATTAAAGTATTAAGGTTGTCATTTACAATAGAAACTTCTTGACATGAGATTTTTTTTCTACAAGA